CAGTTATACAATTTGTATTTGTATTTTCACAAGTCTCGCATGTTAAGTCACATTCTAATCACAATTAAATACATTATTACATGCACAGTTTTATTAATTGTTTTCATAAAATCCATTTTTACATAAACACTATTTTGATTCTTCATCAAAATATCTGGTTGTCAATCGACAAGATATACATTAACTACTATTTTAACATTCTAGACAAGTGATATTACACTCTATTTTATAATTGTATTATTACATAGACAGGAATTAGTTAAATAATCAAAATAATACTATTATTAACATAGACATCGATTATTCACTAAAATTAAATTAATACTAGTATTGCAAGTTAAGCAATTATCAAATAATAATGAACAAGTTAAACAGGAACTTGCACATTGTTCGCAATTCTGATTAATTGGATTTTCATAGTATCCTTGTATGCATTCACAAGTATTTCCGGTTTTGAATTGTCTAAAATTGGTTATTGAACATGTTAAACAATAATCACTTTAATTAACACAGGTTACACATATCTTACTACATAATTTACATTATTTATCATCATTTGATTCATACATTCCATTAATACAAATACAATCTTTATCTTTCAAGTATCGATATTTAACACAAGAAATACATTCATTTATGAATTAAGAACATAATCCACACTTTTGGTTACATTATTAGCATGTTCCATCAACTTCAATAAATCCTACTTAACAATCACAGGTTCCTGTTTTTAAGTTAATTTCTCTAAATTAATTAGAATCGCATGAGGTACAGTTATTGGCTGTGTTTAGACATGTCATACAATTTGAATTACATTCCAAACAAAGCTATAACCCAACTTCATAGTAGCCCTACTGACATTTACAATTAGTTTCTATTTTTCTTGTTTAGGGACATGATAAGCAGATATAAGATTGTTGAATACAATTTAAACACTAAATATCACATTTTTAACATGGTATTGATTAGCCATCATCAAAATATCCAAATAAACATTTACATGTCTAATTATAAAAGACTCGATTTGATTTATCAACTTCTACACAGGAAATACAGGAATTAGCATCTTAAGAATTACAACTTAAACATGAATAATGACATTTTTAACAAGTTTCAACTCCATTATCATAATATCCAATATTGCAATTACAAGAAAAAAATAGTTCATCATAGGTTCTATTTGAATCTTTTGAGCATAACTCACATTTGGTATCAATATCATTACATCTAAGACATGAATAATGGCATTCTAATTATAATTAGGAATTGATAAATACGCTAACAAACTTCATTTTATCCATCTTCAAAATACCTTTCCATGCATTAACATTTATTAAAACCTGAAATATGGTATCTTAAGCTGTTATCCTGACAAGAAATACAACTTTCAGCATTCTTAGAACATTCTTTACATTTATAGCTACATTCTATTTAGTTATAAACTATCAATACTTTGGCAAATAGGCAATCCTGCATCGAAATATCCTTCCTTACAGGCACATGTATTTCCTATTTAGAATCTGTTTTCAGTATCTACACAAGTGATGCAGTCTTATTCAGATATTCCTTTACATGTTCCGCATGAATAGTGACATTCTATTTATTGATTGAATTTATACTTTCGCATTTAATAATTCCATTATATTCAAACATACTTATTGTAGATCCTTATTACTTCGTAATACATTTGCAAGTATTTCCAATTAAATATCTATCGCTATAACATGATGTACAATTCGAGGAATCCTATACACATTCATAACAGAATGCCCTACAAACTAATTTTAAATAGAATAGTTACTTCCACATTCTGAAAACTCTATTTCAAAGTAATGTGGTTAGCATAAGCAGGAACTAATTTAAAGTTCTCTATGGGCGGAAGAATCACAGGAGAGACATTCAGTTTAATCCTTGCCATAACATGTTTTGCATTTGAAATGACATTCTCTAATTTATTTTAAATCTACTTTAACAATTTATTTCATCTTCCTTATCAAAGTATTCTGATGGACAAGGGCATCCTTTAATAGGATCAAAAGCACGTTTTGAATTTAATGGACAGCTCAAACATTAGTCTGGTTTATTATCGCATTTTTCACATCTATATGAACATTCTAAGCAAGTAATATTTAAGACATTTACTTTAACACTAAGAAATTCCTGGTTCTTCATAATATCCATCAATACATTTGCAAGTATTACCCTTTATTATTCTAAAACTAAGCTCCAATGAACACACAATACAGCTATCTGCCTTCTCATCAAAGCATTTATAACAAGAATAGTGGCATTCTTTTTATTTAATTATGCTTACTTGCGCATTCTAATTATCCAATATCATAATATTCAGGAGAACAAACACATGATGATAATTCTGACTATCTATATTGTTTATCGCAAGTCAAACAATTTGAAGAAAGAGGACCATAACAAGTTTGACAAGTTTGATCGCATTATTGGCATTCTAGTGAGCTTCCGTCATCAAAGGTATTTGGTGCAGTACAAATACATTCAAAGAAACTACCTGATAGGACAGATGTCCTACTTGAAGGACATTCTAAACATGCATCCTTTGCGAGACGGGGGGCGCAGGGGACACAGTAAGGAGGACACCCGAGGAAAGAACAGGAAGGGGGGACGGGAACAGACGAGAGGGGCGTGTGGAGCAGCAGAAGAGGAGGAGAGACAGAGGCGGGCGCCGAGAGGGGGGAAGGCGCGATGAGAACGTGATGAACATTGTAGACAAGGGGGGGCGGCAACACCAGGGCAATTTCCACAGGGATAAGGGCAAACGAAGACGAAGGGGGAGGAGAGACGGGCACAAACGGGCA